ATGCAGACACCATTAGGAGTAGCCTTCTGCTTTCCATTCCACCCTCTACTTCTTCCCAACACTCTCCTCCCCTCTCTTTACCTCTAGACGCTCACATTCCATTAATTTCCTGCCGTGTCAGCATTTGGACCATATTCAGAATGAATTGACATGATCATCGATCAACATCTTCCCTGATAACGGTGGGGAAGACGATTTAGATTTCACTCCCACCATTTCCACCTTCCCGACCACTTTTCTCTACTCGCTTTACAAGTAACACTGTTTTCAACCTACTACACCAGCGCATTGAAAGGGCATCATCAAGGCTGCTGTCGAGGCAGAGGATCGGCATCCTGGTATTTTCCGATAGGGATCACCAAAGCCAAAAAGAATACAACATCACATATCAAAATCCCCTCAGAACAGAGGTTTCTCCCACAAGAGGCCAGAATGGTGCGCTGTGCATGCTATACTTTCAAGACTGACGAGCTAGTGAAGACAACCTGAGCGGGGAACCACCACCATCTCATCGGCAACCATTGGGATCTTCCACTCAGCGCCAACAGCATAGGTGACATACACCACAGCGATCTATCAACAGTCTGCATCACTGCAGCCTCGTTGAAGTGCTAATCAGCCAAAAAACATTGCCCGCCAACAGAGATACCTGACATTCTCACTGCAGACACAGGGGGGAAGTATAAAGGCAAGAAGAATGTGGACGGCTGGATTCTGCAACGGATATGGAACGCAGTACGTTATTTTTTTAAATCATGCTTGTTATCATCATCAACTGACCAGCCTGAAGCAGAATTGTTGTATTCAGTTCATTGGTGTGCCAACCGAGCTACGCCCTCTGTTGCAGCCCACCGGTGCAACAGATTATGCGATTCTATTTAGGTGCAGAGAAGTCTTGTAAGGGACTGATTTTGAATGTGTGCACAGGTTAATGTACAAACTACTACAAAGTAATCCAGGGTGTGGAAGAGTAGTACGGCAGGGGGTGGACAAACGAAAAGTGCACGGTCCAGACTGCCATGGATGCATCTAACTGCAATCAAGGCCACATTCAGGGGAAATTCCCAGCCTTCGCCCACAAAAACAGAAAAAGAAAAAAGCACAAAAGAAAGGATCAGAACAGGGAATTAAGGGAAGACACTATAAATCTGCAGAAAATTGCCTATGCTCCACATGCAGACATCAACGCAGCAGCCAAACTGTGTGCAAGACAAGACCCAGGGAAGAGAATCGTTCTGCCTTACAGATGGAACAGCGGCAATGCTGATTGGGAGGTAGTCATCAACAGGTCTGTGGCATTGATTACAGTAAAGGACAGCCACTGCGAGCATGTCATATTGAAGGAACATATCACAAAAGATCTGCCTTTGAAGGCACACGTCACTGGAGATCTCAACCAGGATAGAGAAGAATGGGAAGATACGAAGGGTACAAAGCACATGTTGGATTACAGACCTGTCATGATTAAGTTACAGGAAAAGGCAGTGCTGGCGGAGGGATTCATCTGGATGCCATGGCAGGTAGCGGAGACGATTCCATATGGTCTCCTGGGAGGGTCGGAGGCGGCAGAATGGGTGGCAAGAGGAGCGGCCAGAGTGACCAAAAGTGACGTATTTGCATGGCAGCCTGATTACATTAACGGAAAGATAAACATTATGGCTACAGCAATAGAATGGACACGGACGGGATCTTGAGTAGTGAGTTTGAATAAGGTCGAAGGACATAACATAGATCATGGAGGAGGGTTTAAGAGGAGTTTACAAACGTAGAAGGACAGTGGAAGCGTCAAAGAGTAGGGAACCAGACTTGAGGGTTATGTCTTGGAACATTAATCGGATGGTACAGATTTTGGAAAATAAAGACAAGTGGGATAACGTAATAAAGTATTCAAATTGGTTTGGGAAGACATCCCCAGATTTATCATGTTTGCAGGAAACTCACCTGACAGATTCCTTGGAGCATCAGAATATTCAGCAGAGAATAGTAAGACAGTTAAGGTGGGTTAAGGCAAGTTTTTGGGCGGTGGCTGGCAGGCCACATTCACCAGCAGTAGTAATTCTATTGAACAAAAGGTCGATGGCAGCTGATAGAATATTAGTACAGGATGTCATACTAGATGAAAATGATGGTCGGTGGATAAAGCTCAACTTTACTTATCAGGATGAGCAGTTTACTATCATTATGGTCTACTGTCCTAACGGAGGTCATCAGCGGGCGAAAATGATAGATCGGATCCAAAATCTCATTGACCCATCAAGGCATCTTATACTGGCCGGGGACTGGAACACCACTTTGGATCCTAGTAGGGACAGATTGCAAGGTGGAAGGTCAGGGTTAGGGGAAGGAGGGATGTGGGATGAAGCCCTTCCTATTCATAATCTTATGACGGCTACGGACCTGGTGGATCCTTTTAGACTACAACAGCCTGAACGGAAACAGTTCACATATTATAGAAGGAATCGTAGTCAACATATTTCAGCATCAAGGATTGACTATTTCCTCATATCACAAGACACTGTGGGAACGATACACTCGGTGGGAGTAGGGCATTTACCATACTGTACATGTAGATCATAAACCTATATTTCGTAACTTTATTATGGGCAAACATGTTCACAGAGGTAGGAGCTTCTATAAGGTGAATAATTCATTATTAAGAACTACGGAATTAAGGGAAGCTTTACTGAATGTCTGCCTAATACACAACCGGTCCACACAATCATTTGCGGACCAGCCAGAAGCCCTATAAACAGTGACGGCAGTAGTAGCCATACAGCTGGCAGCAAGGCGGGTGGCTAGAGAAATGGAACTACAAAGGGCATTGCGCATAGCCGAAAGGAATCTAATTAATAACCCGCGTTCGGAGATGTATGAGAAAATAATACAAGAAGCAAGAAATGAATTGGGGGATTGGGAGAGATGGAGAGCTAGAGGTCTGCAAATGAGAGCGAGAGTGAAAGAGTGGGAGGAAGGGGAAAGAATGACAAAATATTTCTTCCAAAAGATTAAAGCAAGAGAAAGAAACAAGCTAATAGAGCAGTTGGAGGGTCCGCAAGGACTGGTCTCGGATCCGGAAGGGATGCTATCGGTGGCCTACAACTTTTATAGTGCTTTATACACTTCTAGGGAAGGTGACCATACTCCTCATCAGTTGAAGGAGGTCAGAAATAACTTTCTTTCAAATCTGGAACGAACGGTGAAAAGAGAGCAGGCAGAAAAATTAGATGCCCCTCTTTCCCAACATGACTTGAAGGAAGCACTACAGTCAATGCCTCCTAATAAGACGCCGGGTAGGGACGGATTAACTAAAGAATTTTGGATGGAGTATTGGCCTATCCTAGGAAGAGAGTATGAATCCTTTCTCAATCAGGCCTGGCAAAAAGAAGGATTGGGGTCAGAATCGGCAACAGGCATAGTTACTCTACAGTATAAGAAGGGAGACCCGAGGGATGTCAAAAATTCCAGGCCAATAACATTGTTGACTCTCACTCACAAAATTGTGGCTAAAGCACTAGCTAACCACCTTAGGAAGGTTACAGAAAGTTGTTTTGATCTAGATCAAAAGGGATTTATACCGGGAAGATTCATATTAGATAATGTCATGACCTTATCAGAGTCAGTAAGGTACATTACTAATAGAAGGATAAATGCAGCTATTCTTTTTTTCGACTTCGAAAAAGCATATGATCAGGTCAACTGGAATTTTCTACAACAATGTATGGAGAAGATGGGGGTGGGTCCTAACTTTCCTAAATGGATACGTGTACTTTATAATGACGCACATGGGCAGGTCCAGGTTAATGGCCACCTGTCAAATCGATATAAAATGACAAGGTCAGTGAGGCAAGGGGACCCTTTAGCTGCTCCTATATTCTTATTCATAATGAAAGCTATCGCCTCATTCCTTCGAAAAGACCCTTTGATAGACCGGCTGGTTGTTGAACCAGATCAGCAGGGACGAGTCACACATATACCGACAACGATATTATTTGCGTATGATTTGACTGTACTAATCATAGCAACAGACTCTTCATTCCAAGCCCTAACAAGAGCAATGACGGCATTCCAGCTAGCATCGGAAATGAGAGTCAATTGGCAAAAGACGATGGGGTGGTGGTTATGACATGATGACCAACAACTACAAAATCAGCCACAGAATTATAAAGGGATGACTTGGTTACCACTGGATCAGACAATGAGATACTTGGGTATCAATATGACGGGTGAGGTCCCCATCGCTCTATGGCGCCAGAGCACATGACAAAAATGCTATTAAAACTGGCGACGTGGTCGAAAATACATACCTCACTGTTCAGGAGGGTACTAGTCATAAATGCATCCATCTTCTCTATGCTATGGTAGGTGGGAACGATATGGTCACCACCAGCGAATACACTACAAAAGCTGAGGAAGGTGCCGGCAGCATATCTATGGACAGCCAACCCTTCAAGATCTAACTTTATATCAAACAAGTGGAACCCGCCACGGCTACGCCATGGCAGACAGCAACAGTCGCCGATGGCGTCTCATAGCGTCTGCTCTGCCTCTCTCTCTCTCTCTCTCTCTCTCTCTCTCTCTCTCTCTCTCTCTCTCTCTCTCTCTCTCTCTCTCTCTCTCTCTCTCTCTCT